ACGACTTTTATGCTCATTTTTGCCAAGGAAGGAATGTGAGCTTCTGTCCATCCATCCATTCATCTATTGTTTAATCTAGATTCTCCATGGGCAAAGTTGTAATAAGTTGTTTACATTTGGCCTCGCATATCACACGCCCCATACATTTAGAGGAACAAGTACCAAAAACATTTGATACTTTATCTTAACGGACGGTGGTTGTCGTGCCACGCATACGAGGGGTATGGGTCTACAAACTGAAAGGTTATCAAGCTTTTAATTAGGAGATTTTTTTGGTGATTGGAATGTATCGAAAGGGTCGCCTGTGGTACTTGGTGCAAGTGGCGTCCAGGTCAAAACTCGTACTCGTGATTTCATTAGAAACGCGCATTCGATTGTGGGGAAAATCAATGTTTATCAACACAAATGTCTCGCATGCGCGGCGCGACAACCGCCCGGGCAACCGCCGCCCTCTAATTTCTTCAGACGGACCCACACATTGGTCACCACGGTATACAGAGCTCAGAATTGGCACAAATGGGTAGTTTTGAGGTTCGCTGCAACCATATTCATTATCGTTAGACACGAGCTCAAATCCTGGCGGCGTTGAACACTGACAAAATATAATCGATCCCAATGCAACAAAGTCAACGAATTACAAGCGGGATTCCTATCTACCAAATCAACATTCTATGCGAAGGTTAGTCTGAAATGCACACAGTCGCAGCAGAATTCGAACAGCAGTGCATGACAGGGTTGAGAGCAGTGAAAACAAATAATGTTTTGGTCGATAGACTGCGTATACGTCAGTTTTCGACCTGTATAGCTTGCAGATTTAATTGTTGGCATAGTTACTCAAAATATAAAAGGCGTTAAATTAAGTCTCGTCGACAGTACAACTTTAATGCTGTGTAGCGTTGAAATAATATGAAATACGTAAAAAAAAAAGTCGTTGAATCCTGTGTCGCAATAATTGATTCGAGGAAGCTGGGTTGTGATAACACTCGGTTTGTCGAATCGTCAAACACGTGTTTTTATTTCCAGTATACAATTTGGTAACTTAACCCTGCCAGTGAGAGAATCCAATGGAATTGTGACGCACAAGTAATTTGTAAAACCGTGAACTGGCGCCAAGAGTCTATGTGTATATCGTAGTTACTTTTGAGATTGCGACGAGCGCCACCTTGTACTCAACCGGCTATTTTCAACTTTCAAATACTGAAATTTGACCACCGATGGCGCTAAACCTCGTGCCATTTATGGTCTAATAATACTAAACAATATATCGAGCATTTCTCTGAGATTTGCAGTATAAGATGATATTCTTTGCAGTTTTGGGTCAGCCTACACTTGAATTGTGCCCTTTCTTATCTGTTTAGATCTAATTTTATTTTGTATCTCAATTTAGCATTGTAAACAACAGCTGATCATAAACACAGGTGCACGCCCTCCCACCCTCTAGCAGAGCTAACTGATGGGGTTATTATGACTTTTTTTTATTTTCTTCAGTTCGAATGCCACAAGGCACAATAGAATATACACGTGTGAACGTAAATAACTGTTATATCACATGACTTATTCCGATTTTCACCAACCTTACTCTGAACCACGATGCTGTTTCGCCATTTTACACCAGTGTCTGGGACACGTTTATAATGCAGTCGAACTGTGGTTGAGACTAAGCACTGAGGTGAGGTCATGTGATCCGAGACGTGATCGGGAAGAGAAAAGGGGTGTTTTAACTATCCGTTTATTAAACTAACATCCCAATTGAAAGACATCGACAGGATATTTTCCTGATAAAAAACAAAACATGTCTTCTACTAGAGTTTCGACGTATCCACTCATTCACCGACTATTCTGTTTTATTCATGCCAGGTGCTTCGGAGTGGGGACTTCACTTTCCGGAAGCTAATGGAGATTGCCAGTCCCCAGTGAATATCAACTCTCGCGAGGCTGCCTTTGACGATAAATTGAACCATCCTGAGCTCTCAACGAATTACGTAATTTGTCGTGAATGTGATCTGGTCAATAATGGCAATGCAGTGCAAATTATGTTCCGATACAAAAGTGGTAAGTGGCGCCAATTTTCCATAAGTAAATTGTATATGTAGTGCTTATGTCCGTCGTTGCTTTGCTAAATAATTTCAACTGCCACCGTCGGTGGCGCACATCAAAATTGTTCAACTTCACGCTTTGATCTTATACAATATGTTCTAATCATGTATAGTGTCTCAATATTATTTACAATTTTTAAAATAAAAACATTTCATTTAAAAACTAATTTGTGTCTATAAAAAACGTCTCAACTTCTGTAATTGACGTGAATATCATTATGTCTTGTGTCTAAACTACCAACCATGTACTGTACTGACAAACACGCTGGTGCGCATGCGTCAATTTGGACAAATCTCGCTTTTCTAATTTTCGACACTTTTACAAATGTTTTAAGTAAACTACTTATTTTTTTAATTTTACTAGTATCTTGGCGTTTTTTTGGGGGGGGGATTATACATACGCTATTTGCAAATTAACTGTTATTATCTTTCAAATTCTAGTCGATGTATTTAAATTTACTTCTATTTTTTTTTTCTTTTTTTTTTCTTATCGCTGATGTAACGATAACATCATATAAAACAAATTCAATTTTCTTTTCAGTGAAAACACGAGTTCATCTGTAATAATATGTTGCATTGTATAATTTTTCAGTTTTTAAAATGAAGTACGCGAAAAAACACCGCACTAAACATTCCTATACACGGTAAACATGACATTAGTCGACAATTCTTTGGGAAGAAAACCACGCAGGGGGTAGTGCGCCCCCATCGCTAGTACACACCCAGGGGATGATATTACACTGATGCTCGAACTACATGACTAGTTCAAAGAAAATCAATTCAGCCTTAAAATAACCACTTATTCCCATTCTTCGCGTCAAATAATCGAAGCGATTTTCAATAATACCCTATCGAGCTATTTTTTTTAATTAAACTGCAGTCCTGAAGGATTGAGGGGAAAATATCGCTTTGTATTTTTGACACGGTTCACTTTCATCTCGTTTTTTGTATGCAAAATGGATTTAATAAACATTGCCGTGTGACATGGCCGATTTGGCTGTTCCATTGTCGTTACGGAGATTGAAACGCTGTATTAGATGCAACGCAACGCGGAAATGACGAGAAAAAAAACTTGTGACTCTTTCTTCTCCTTCTAACAACAGTTGTCAGTAAAATCTCTGGTAATTAAGTTTTTAAATGTCTAAATATGCACACTCACACAGAGTCGGTACAATGGGATCGAAAGAGTATGGTTTCATTACTTCAGTATAATTTCCCTTTTCTAATAACCGAAACACAATGTGAAATAGACAGGCATCCACTATATCAGTGTTCAGGATGTAAATTCAATTTCAAAAGTCTAGTAATTTGTAAAATTCGATGTATCTTTAATAAAGACATAATACTGGCGAATTGCACAGGTTGATACGTTGTAATTAAATACCAGTCTACTGTAGGTGCCGCCTGATCCCTAAACAAGAACCTAATATTAGACTGCATCGCGATTACTGTCCTATGTGACATTTGTATTGAGTCGCCTCAGTTGTTGTCCATTTTATTACATTAAACTCCTTTCAGTGGTTATCCATATCATGAACACTCGAATTTCTCGGCTTTTAACACCGTTTTTTTTTAATATTCTCTACCTGTAACCTTATTCGAAAGAAATGTCACGATGTTTTCAGAAATCTGTAATGGAAATGTTTTAATTTGATATTATTACACATTTGTTGATTTTTTTTATTATTATTTCAAACGTCTGGTTTGTTAATTTCAATGTAGTCACAGTCGATTTTCTTTTTTTAATATAAATTTAGTCTCGTCGATTTTTAAGGCCTGCTCGTTATATTGTATTTAATTGTGAAGGGCACGTCACTCGCTGTCATGCGGCGCGTGTTTCGAATTTTGTTGTATCCTCGGGGGCTGAGCTACGTCACTCGAAGAGCCGGAGAAAATAGCTAAATTCGAGAAAACAACATAAACTCAACTTTAAAGTAATCCTAAACAACCAAATTTATATATGCTGCACATGCTGGGGTAATCTTTTTACACATTTCAGGGGAGTCTGAACAACTATTCCAAAATACCATTTTCTGATAGTTTTCGGTCTTTGTTTTCACCGTGATGGTTGCCAGCGGTGAAAATGCCCGGATGTATACGGCCCGAGAATATGTCGCATGGAAATCATATCGAATTCACGACGCGCATGACCATGACCACTACCCTTTAAATTCTTCAAAAAACATGGACTCTCTTGTAGTGAATCAATGCCATATTACGTCATAATTTGCCAACACGTCAATATTACAGTTGAAATACGACATTCCTAAATGTCCTGAATAATATAATAACAACCTTATTTCGATTTTACATCCGATGTGTTTTACACAGCATCCCTTGTTATGAATGCGTTACTAGAAATACCGACATATGTATCCTCGCTCACCTCCTGACGATCTAGAAATATACGGAGCTTTGGAACGTTTCTAATTCTAAATTTACTTTTCGACTCAGGGTAACTATCTTAATATAGCGTTGTTCATTTCATGTGAAAGTCGTTACTTGCTGAAAAGTGACCCTGGAATTCAAGTCGTTTTTGTTTGTTTTTTGTTTGTTTTTCTCACTCTACATTTAAATTTACTATTATAGACTATAACTCCTTATAAATTATCCCGTTGTTATTTAACAAAAAGTAAAATCACCGAAAAAAAATCTAGTTTTGTTTGCATCGTAAAAATACATTTTCCGGAGAGTCGCGTAGACACAGGAAAATGGTTCTTTCAAGCTATTGCTCAATGAATGTATGTCGATTCACAAACAAGAAATGACTTATTCTTTAATGTTGACATGCAATGTTATTTCACCTTTGTGATTGTAGTACGAACACCGTGTCTGTAATAATCGTGTCTAACGCACGCATACTGTTAAGAAGGATCATGTATTTTCTGTTTTCCTTTTTTTATCCAGCACAAGGCTTCGATAGTGCGGTGAATTTTGGGAGAGAGGGAAAAGCTGAACCGATACCAAAATCAGGTAGGTCAAAGGTTATGCGTGACGTCACAGATGCCCATGAATTGACGTCATAATACTGACGTCAAAAAATATCGGTCAAGTCCCTGCAGATAAATTATGCTTAGCGACAATATTTACATGATGTAGTACTTGTAAGTATAGATTTCAACGGTGACATGCCTCTCCAGTCGAGTTCATGGAACAGACTTGTCGCAGGTGTTAGATCTGGTAACAAGATCATTTGCATTAGTCCGGTGGATCCTAGGTACGACGTTGGCTATGGAGATTACAAAAAACTACTTGACACTGTCACGCGAATCGTAATCGGCGCCTTGTTAAGGTGCTTAACCAGTCACAATTAAAGCTACATTGTCGACAATAATTAACTCAATGTTGACATGTTTCAATAATTATTATTATCGATGTAATGCGGAGGAGTGTAAATATTTAAAAGCATGGGACATTACACATAGTGTAATATCGATTTAAATTCAACATTATTATTATTATTATATATATAATCCCGAACCGTTACTGTACATTTCCAGCTCTTTTGTATTGTACATTTCCCAAAGTAATCGTATTATTTTTCAGTGATAAGTGGTGGCCCGTTGCCGAAAAACTGCGAGTTTGAGTTGTCCGAGTGTCGATTTCACTGGGGACGGGAGGATGACCGCGGTTCAGAGCATACCGTGAATTTCAAAGCTTTCCCAATGGAGGTAGGCAATATAGATGCGAGTGCGTTCACATGTGTTTATGCATGGTCGCAAGAACTCAAAGATGCGTGTTCGCGAGGAGATATTTTCCCCTGATCCGCACATTTTTTGTGTAAATTTGCATTTAAATGTTTTTATTTTATTTTATTTTTAAATTCACGCGGCAGTAATTTGCTAGTATATTCGACTATTCCGACGACCTTACTGATGGGTCGGCGGTTCTTCATCAGGTGTGAGACGTCATCCCACCTTTTACATACGCGTTGAACGTCCAGGACGAGCGAGAATGGACGCAAAGTTCTTACCATGAGTAAGGGGCCCACTGATCTGATTCGTGTACTGAACCAAATAAGTCGCAGCGTTTCTCACATTTTTTAAACGTGCCAGTACCTAGAGTATCACTCAATGTCGCCGTTTTCCGAACTCGCGTGGCGTCTAAGCACCGCAGTTTGTCGTCCAGCTTAGTTCACACGCGTCGTATACCGTATTCGTCGCAGGAGTCGCATATTGAACACAACAATGGCGCGTTTAGTCAATGGTATTAATGATCCTTGGCTTTTGGAATTCAAGCCTGTTGATCTTCCCTTAGTGTTTATAAAATATTGTAACAGCGTGAAATTGAAAACTAAACCTGACTTAAATATTATGCATAAACTGCTTTGAGAATATATGGTCCATGTTATTTTGATTAATTTCAGAAAGGGTTCCGTTTTTTAAAGTAATATGTGATATTTTGTAATAACATTTTTTACACAGTTCTCGTGTCGTGTTGCGTTGCGGCACGCTTTCTTAATGGAAATTCGTTTCAGTAACTCATTTCCGCCTCTCACATTGTCCGTTTTATTCCCAAATGATGAATGGTTGTGTATAACATTTTAATGATTAAAGCTGTGATTGGGTGACATATTTAAATTTGACTGCAGACAATTACACATACTAACACCATAGAACTCTCTCCCGTTGAGTTTGAATATTTACTTTTTAACACACAAGTGAGCATGACTGGCAGGATGTTCACAAATTCTGGTTTGGGCGTGTGAGGCTCAAAAGTTACTTAGTATAAATATCTTCAACATTGAGACAAATAATCATCATCATCGTCGTGATCGTCATCGTCATCATCGTCACTGCTATTATTATTTCAAATACAGCTTTAATTAAGTTTAATAATTTAAACTAAAATAAATCCAATGAATCGCCGCTTCTTTAGATGGGCGCCCGCGCGTTCGTATCTTCTAGTGAGATGGTAATGCATATGATTTGACTCTTCGATTCGTTTGAATTACGTCCATTACTAGCCACACGTCCTCTGTGAACATACTGCATATAAGGTTAACTGTCAATATCGCGTGTATGTTAATTTGTGTTTGTTAACTCCTACGGATTTCTCCTCGTAAGTACGTGAGACGACCATTACCAAATGCCTCATTTTTTGTTGTTCGTGCGATAAATATTTCCATTTAATTGCATATACCAATCGTTTGCGCCAAATAGTGTACACTTTCTTTGATGTCATGTTCATTCAGCGTCTTGTTTCTCGATGTCTGCATCAGCCGGAGTGTGATCACGTGACCTGCGCGCTTTTCTCAGAATTGCCATGATCATCATGGGCGCACGTCACTTTCACGTAAGGCGTGTCTGGGTTCATTATGATCCGATACTCGCCTTTTTTTCATCCGCTTGAAGGGTCACTTTTCGAATTCAGAAAACCCCCTTTTTATGAAATGGCGGTGAGAATGGTAATTTTTTCGTTCGCATATCCGGGCAAAAGTCGTCCCGCAACGTAGGCTGCGTACCATCATGTGCACACGTGACTACGTATACAGCACCCATTTAATGAATAGAGTGAAATATATTAATAAGATATCGTCCAGCACGTGTCCAGTTTTTTATTTTTGCCATTTAATGTATCGTTGTAGGCGTACCCTGCCCCAAGGCTCCCGTTGATTTACTCACAATTGTCTCTGTATATTCATATTAAAACTCGTTTTTCGTCATTTTGGAATTTCAATTCAATTTTTTTAAAAACACAATTCGGTAATGTCATGCGCGCGTCAATCGGTGTTCACGTGACTTGGTGAGCATAATTCCAAAACTTCGAAAGTTTAGTTTTGGGAACCATGATTGCAAGACACGGCGAAAAATGATAATAACAAACCGATATACACAACTTGTTCTTATAGAAAACAAAACAAGCTGAAAATCGGACATTTAGAATACATTTGTGTGTATATTGACACCCCATCCCTATATACACACACGCCCTGATCTGACGTATGATTGGCGGCGCTTCAAATTCACAACACAGTATGGATTTCTGTTAGGCGAAAACACTTGGCCATTCAATCTATGGATTTAAAACAAATCCTAGTCGACGTTTTAAAGAAGTACTAAGAAATGAGAGTGTTTACACGGCGATTATCTCTAAATATGGCCCACTTTTCACTCCTTAATCTTCTTACTGCCCATCCAAGAGCGCAAGTTCGTACTGAGTTCCGATTGAGCATCTGTGACTTACTCCTTCAAGTTTTTTACTCCAACATCAAAACTCGCGGTGTACATTTCAATCGCCTTCGGACACACACACACACACACACACACACACACACAAACAAACATAGTTTACCCCCATAATGGGTGCATAATAATTTCATGTGGGCGTTTTTTTCGTGACTGGATGATGACTTTGTCTGTGCCCACAACGAGGCTGCTGGCGTGACCTAGGGCCTAGCGAGGCGCCATCGCGTATTTTTCCGTCTGTGGCAGGCATTCAGTTTCTAATCTCCACTAATGTAATTTCGCCGGCTTTTGAAGCCAATTTCGGCTAATTTGATCCTTTTGGGGTACACTTGTGAAGATTAAACTTCAATCCACTTTCACTTCTCAGTGAGACTGATACCATGACAACGACTATACCCGATTTGTTTTACTTCTCTGTAAAATAAATACAGCAATAAATTTCATATTTGGTTCATATTTTCTTCGTTTATTTGTACGTTTCAGGAGGGATGATGGCGCGCATACGCAAACTCGAAAAGTCCCAATTTTAGGAAAAGTGGCGCTCACTGAGTTAACCGCTCTTATCATTGATTATCACTTTTATCATTTCCATGACAACCCCTGAGATATGCCACTTGCTTATGTTATTATTGGAAAATTGAAATTGAAATAGACATCAATCCCTACTTAAGTTTTAAGAATTTCAGTCAGAAAAGAATCGTATCTGGAATACCACGCTTATACCATCAAAGATTCGTGTGTTTTTTTTCTTTACGGATTTTTTAGTAATATCTTTTTCAAGCTTCGAGAGAGATAAGCGGTTGCTATCTGAACTTAACATCGTCGAGTGCATTAACATGTGATTCGACAAGCTCACTGTCTAATCAGAACAAGAAAAACGACATGCGTACTACAGTGGATATCAAGACCTTGCCTTCGTGCCGGGTCTCAAGTTATGTATAATGGGCGAACGTCGAAACGCCTTTCATGATTGAGCGCGCAAACATGACAGGGGCGAGCGAGAGAGAAAGCGAAAAAGAAAACGCCCAGTCAGATAAATATCTTATTGAAATCAGCTCGCTGCACATTGAGATAAAAAAAAAGCCCGAGTGAAAACACTGAAAAAAGCTGACTGGTGTGAGGGAGTCTGTTTGTACCCATGTGTGTAAATAGGGAAAAGAGGAAAGAATAGACTACATAGAGAAGCAATAGTAATTACTACTTAGCTTATTAAATACACATTAGGCAAAGCATCATTACACAAAACCCAACCTGTCTATCGGTGGGCCAACAAATGAATGTACCGATGAGGCCAGACAGACTGATAGGCGACTTGAGCTGTCAGGCCGACTCGACTCTCGTCATATCTACGATACGCCTTTTTATTTCAAATCCTCTGATTCTTGATCGTTGTGACATCGCCGGAAAAACAATCCACACTAGCACTTTTTTTAAGAGAATTACTGCGGATGAAGTACATTAAAACAGTCAGAGACGTATTCGAGAACGGATATTTTCCCCCAATTTGGAAGTACTTTAATGATAATAGGAAAGGCATAAGAGACTGCTTGAAAAACCTCCGTTCCATCAATACTCGCTCTGTGCTAGTCTCTCTTGTTTAAATCTACATGTCAGCGTTTGACCCAACAACCAGTATTCGAATAAAATTTTGTTCTCTCTGTCCCGAGGAGCGTATGATTGTCAGTTAGCTTGTACCCAGGGCATTGTCAGTTTAGTTGAAAACATAAATAGTACAGCAACAATGGGTTATTCTGTCGCCTAATAAGGCAGCGTTCGTGTCAATCAGACGAGCACCTAAATATACCTCTCAGTTAACCTATAGTCGCACGGTGGATGGAAGCATTTGCTGGAGTATCCTTCCTATCCAGTCCGTATTGCTATTCCGCACATAAGTGTTTATTTAGCGTAACTTTTTTTATCATTCCATTTCTGTCTCTTCTCGATGTCTCTGTGATGTTTAATGTCTTGTATGACAATGAGATTATTGCCGATCTCGTACACTTTAAGAATCTTTGGCCATTCATGCACTCTTCCGTTTTTCTCTTTGTCCCACTCCCTTTCACGGCTCCCCCTTTTTCATGTCATAAGACAGGCTTTTTTGAATCAATGAATGAATTTTACTTTTCTTCCTTTCACTGTCATCATTTACGGTTCTTGTACTCGATAGTACAATAGCACATGCACCAAAGCAATTGAACGCATTTAACGGCAATATTGATGTTTATATAGAACGTGTCCAGCAGCTCCGTCGCGTTGGATAGCGACTGTACAACTTATCGTATCGGCGTATGCCACCATCTTTCTCGGCCATCATTGTCCGATCTCAACATACATCATCCACCTCCAGTCGCATAAGCTTTGCCCAATATTTCAGTTTATTTGTAAAATGCCAAATTTAATTGAATATAAAGCCTAGATTCGCACGCTGGCACACTCCCGGAGTGTACGAGTAGGGTTTACGACCAAAAAAACATCGCCCGACACGATGACACACGAATCGAACACTGTAATTACGCCGAGGGAAAATATTTATATTGAAACAGCTAATAAATTGTCAGCTTCTGAAACCTAACACTTAAATGAAATTTCAGCAGTAGTTCCGTAACTATGGTGATCTAATAGCGATGTGGACTGATACACAGGTGCTACGGTTAATGGCCAGTAACCTGATTCTTTACCAGTAATCGAGTGGAAAAGAGTAAATCTGTGAAACCGTTAATGCAATATCTAACAAATTTATCTATAATACCATGACCCGGGGCCCATTTCCATTCTCCAAATAGCGTATTCGCTTTTTCCCAATTTCAACGCGGGGTATGAATACACCGTGGTGATCCCAATACGCTTATGCCTGGCAATCTGCTCTTCTGCTCTCCTACTTGTCGTCTCTCGGTGTTTTTGTCAGTCTGACTGCTAGGTGTGGCGTCTTATAACACCGATTGAATAGCTGACACTGATGACAACTTGTTTATTAGTTAGCATTCTTGTTCTTGTCAAAAGCGCCATCGTGTCACAGTCTCGGCTCGGTTCAGCGCCCAGCGCTCTTTCTGGTCATGTAGGGCGCCGTAACGAGTTTCACTGGCAATGGTCGAGAGGGGTAGGGGAGGGAATGGGATCGGATCGGATCGGATCGAATCGAATCGAATGAGATGGGATCTAATGCGTTGAAACGGTTTAAATAGTTTTCGACCATTGATGCTCGTATTCCGCTGCAATGCCCTGTGTCTAATTTTCCCACTTAAGCGATGTGTGACATACTACACGAAGTGCATTTGCCACTGCAGTGCGCTGACTGGCTAGTTATAGTACTCAACTATTATGGGTCTTTAACCACGCGGAAGGGATCTCTTCCACCGTATTGGACGAACACATAGACCTGACAAGTATAGCTACGATACGAGAACACGCCACTTTGACAGCTTTCCTGTTCCCTCTTTTGCCTTTTATTTTGTTTGGGCATGATAATTCTCGTGTTCTATCCGCACGCCACAATTATAACGTTTTGTGTGGGGTTTTTTCTCGTATTTTTCAATGCCTTTGTCTGCCTTCTAAATGGCCGATTTTTCTGCCTGGATAACTTTTAAATACTCTTCGATTCATGAGTCCCTTTTCTATAGAAACGATCAGATAAAAGCCATCATATCCATAGCTCGCCAGTTAGAGTTTAGCTTAGACCGGCAATACGGATTAAATTATCCCTATGAAGTGTTCGCATCACGGACTATATATTATAATGGCAATATGTCGATAGTAAAAACAATCTTGTCTTTGCATATTAATAGCTATGTACTGATATCAGAATAACTTGTTTCTAAGGCTGTGAAAAATAAACTACAACCCTTTCGGAAATAACCTCTGTATATGTAGCTAAAACAACCATATTTGGAGAGGAGAAAAAAAAAGAAATAAATACGCGAAATTTCACGGAGCCGTGGTGTTTTGAGATCGGCAGAGTGGCGAGGCAAACAGTACTTCTGAGTGATCAAGTGGGTGATTATGATCTAGTTCATTTTGTGATTAGCCAGGAAGATGATGTTTAAAAAGGCATTAATCTCATCTCAAAATCAACCAATATAGCTACTTTCTAAATATATGTATATAACCTATTCCGCCGTGTCTCGGTAGTCTTCCTGTCCTTCGAATGAGAGTGCGTCATTTCTACCATATTTTAAAGATGGATTATTTAAAATCGCGAACCATTCAGCTCAATTTGGTAATTTTGATTAATTTCCCGACAATTTTGCTTCGAAATAATACGAATTTTAAAATCAAAAGTCGACCCGTCCAATTTTACTGATCTTATAAGTTTGCACTTCTGGAATTTAACGCTGGCGTATATTTGACGAAATGACGGGGACGTTGTTATGACAACAAGAAATTATTGCTATTATTTGGGGGTATTGCTGTCAAATCGTGTGCAAGCTTAATGATGAATATTTTGTGTCAGGGTTATTATCGTCGCGTTTGATTATTTTCTTTGCCAGTTCTATTTCATATTTATTTGATTATTAATTTATCGTTTTGAAGCAACATTAGCAGCGCAGTGATTCCAACAGCACCACGCCATACTAGTCATGTGACCAAAGATTTGCGACGGAGCAAAAATAAAAAAAAAAAGATATATTGGATAACAATCAGAACCGATGAGTTATTTCTATTCACTTTGTTTACCAATGAATCGATGCAATCCTCCCCATGTTGGGAATTCATAGTCTGCTCGTCCCAACTTCAAGGAGACCCTCCCCTTAATTGCGTGAACTCGCCGTGAACTCTCCACCGCTGCTAGATAATTGGCTTCTTTTACAAACTATTGTTACTAGAAAGGTATTTACCTTCGATCGAGATAAAAAAAAGTCCAGTTCGTCGTTATTCCTTTCTAAGACTCTGGTCACCTGCACTTTGCCGTTGAAGGAGACGATTCACGTCTCCGCCGCAGTGGGGGTGCCGTCCTTTTCAATGTGTTTTCAATTCACATAATCGTCATTAATAGTATGATGTTTGTGATCAACCATCAACCAACGTTATTTGCAATCAATCAATCGATGGTAGATAGGCGTGTTGTATTCAAACTTTTGTTATTTTCATGCGTGTTTTCGCCCTAAAACTACTCCACCGAATCGCCACACAACGGAGGCCTTTCAAAATGCCCAGTGAATTAGAATGTGTGTTCAGTACGGCGCACAATTTGTAGGTAGTTATATCAACATGTGCCAATCCGTATAGTCGCCAGTTCCACCAACGGAATGGTCAATTTATTAAAGTGTTTTCATCGTTGTCTTCAATCCGATGGTCAAATATAAAAAAAAAGGAGCGCACATCCGTATTTTTTTTTATTTGGTATTAACGGCGCCGTTCGAACGAGTAAACTACCTCCGAGTCAACGGTTGGAGCATTGGCCAACGGTTGAAGCATTAACCATCACAGGGAATTCCGTTAAAACCTATAAACTTCACAATTTTGAACACCAATCAAGAAACAACAATTTTGCTCTCTGTATTTTATGCAGAACACATCCCACTGGTTATTTGGGTCATCGTCATGTGAAATGTCTGTTAGTCTGACAACAAATCCTGAAATATTGGAGTACTCGGCTAACCTTCACTAAAGATCGTGTTGTCTTAAAACCAAATATAATTTATCATTGTTGAAATCGCTTAAGACCACTCATTGTATATGAGGGCTGCTCGATACGATTTCTCATCACATAATCCAACTCCTTTATAATTATCTAAAAATGATACAAAATGGGAATGCTACTTTAAGTTTAGTCGCAAGAAAACAAATTCATATTCCTGGTCATCCGGTGAGCTTGAGATTCAGCGCGTCACTTTTTACGTTTTTTGTTATAAACAAATCAAAATAAACGCACAATTTCAATGACAGTTTTGAAATTGGAATTTAAAAAAAACGCTGGCGTGCGTCGATTTCGAAAAACAAATTGACCGGACACTGATTTTTCTGGGTCCGAATAGAACAAAAAACATCATATACTGCAAATTCGATAAATTGAAACAAAAATTGAAAGAAAACTTGATTATATAAAAATTCAACTGAGCTTCCCACGGTAATTGACATTATACGATAGGAGACAAAGGTGCATTTATTGAACTTGACTTGTTCCCTTTAAGTTTCCCTTGAACTTGTGGGTTAGATCATGGTGGGAGTAGGTTTGTTTAAACTTAAACTATTTTGACAATACAATTGTTAATATAACAGGCATGATTCTAGAAGTCGTGTACACAAAATAAATATTCTGTTTCAAGTTGTGCACGTGAATGAACGTGAATAATGCGTGTTGCATTTGGTTCATTACCGTTGCCCTTGGAATTGTATCACATCGTAGTTTATCAATGTTTTTTTTTTTTTTGTGCGATTTCTTTTTTTCCCAGTTACATTTGCTCCATTGGAATTGCAGTCAATATTCCAGTTACGAAGAAGCCCTTGGTAAACCAGATGGCGTGTGCATCGTCGCGCTATTTATACAGGTAGGTACACGTGTAGCAATTTATAATCGCCACACCGCGTCCAGTTTCATGTGGGTCCCATGCGGTACAACAGCGCGTGTAACATGTATTGTTTAACACGTTATTCGAACGCGCGCGCCGGCACTGTAAGACGACTTTGACGCCTTAGACGTAAATCGAATCATCTGACGTATGTTTTAATTGAGAGCGTGATTGATTACTATCGCGTAACTCATTGGGAAACTCTTGATATATTGGTAATAAACATGTTCACACTGAACTGTTTTAAATAAAATGTATTCCAAATCTTGTAATGAATAATCATTAATAAACAGACGTCTCGTTCAAATCAATCAAATCAATCAATCAATCAATCGATAGAACTTGTATCGCGTCAGGGTCCAGTGCAGATCACTGTTCAAAGGCACTGAAAAAGTAAGGAGACTTATTATCCTTTTTAGATTGTAATTTTCGATGACTGGAGCATCTCGAAAAACCTCGATAACCCTCGATAACCGTATCGTTTGATGGTTCTTAGTCAGTAATGTCTGTCCAGATGGCGAGGTGCCTATTCCTTAGATCTGCCGTCAGCTGTAACTTGTATATCTTGTTTTTACCTCTAGGTTGGCCGTGAACACCAAGGACTGCGAGCATTCACAGAACATTTGGAAGTAGTACAATATAAGGTAACACCATTATTTAGTTTCGCATCCAGAATTCAGTCACCTTGCTTGAAATAAAGTACATTGAAAAAAAAAACGTATCGATTTTTTTTCGAAAGCAAATATCTCTTGTGACAGATATATTTCCCTTTTATTTAAACCAAAGTTTTTTTAAAACGTTTCAATTGTATATTTGTTCCCGTTAAACCACATGCCGTGGACAGCGATCTCTGCTTTCTGTTCACCGCTGTACAGCTAAGTAACTGCATCGGAACAGGCTCCGTAGCTGTGCGTAATACGAGCCACGTGACTTATATTGGCATATTGTCACAGCAAAGTGGGGTTACGAATGGATTAGTCGATTTATTTTTTTTACCATTATCCGTATTTAGAAGATTATTGTTCATTCCCATCTTTCTTTTTTTCTGTAGGGTCGTACTGTGACTGTCACGGCAGCTTTTAATCCAAACTGTCTACTGCCAGGTAAAATCGTATTGTGTTTCCTCCCTAGCTCTGTTAATATATTAAAGGCAATGGGTGTCGGAGAAATGGCTCAACTTAATAAATGGAATACAAATATAATTAAAAAATATTGAAAATAATGAGGATGAACTTGAAGTGTGGTTGAATGCAACAATCGTATTTAATTCTGAACTCCGTCGTTGGCATGGCTGCAACGAACTTCAAAACTTATTTGACTATTATTACTTACTCGAGTTCAAGTTTAGGTTGCCTCGTATGTCCAATCAGTTTTATTATCGACTGGATAATTGACTTTTGGGTTATGTCAATGAGTTCCAACATGTGTGATCATACCGCCACCGGACTATTTTCTTTTCCAGACCCTGCTTTGCGTGATTTTTGGACGTACAATGGTTCCCTGACCACTCCGCCTTGCTGTGAAAAAGCCACCTGGATACTGTTTCGCTACCCACTCACTATCTCACATTCCCAGGTATGCCGCATAAATAATCATTATATAGCTACGCTTTCAACACCCCCCCCCATAAGGTATCAATCACGTGATCAGACGACCACTCGCCTTTCACCTGTCTCAAATAAATCAAATAATACCGGTATCAAAGCTCGTATTTTGGCACACATTCAATCACGTACCCGGTAGTTCTAGTCAAGTTCCCAGGCAACAGTTGGGTTGTTCCTGTCACTCTGTCGAGTAAAATACGTAATTCATGTGTGTGGTGTGCGACTAATCCCATACGAGTGCCTTTTACCCTTTTTTTTATTATCCGTGTCCATTATATTTAACTTGAAGTGGCATGGGCTAGCTAATATGTAAATCAATTGAAATTCTTATAATGACTTGTTTCATTGAACACTTGTTAAAACACTGTGTTGGTGTTTATGACATCCTGAGTTTCAGCACAAAATTGGTCCAAAAACAGAATATTTATTAATTAAATTTTTTTTTTAAATTAAGTTTTTTTTTTAAGACACAACACATTTGTGTGGTCTGTCTGTAACTCCAGTGTGTTAACACAGTATTCGTGACAGAGTTTTGTTCTGGTACATTCCAAATTATTAAACGACGTTATTATTGCTGTTGCAGATGGAAGAGTTCCGCAGACTGCGCTCACATCATAAAGGCGAGACCCCGGCACGTGGCGATGACGGCATCCTTGCCGATAACTTTCGACCAACACAGCCTCTCAATGACAGAATCGTCAGAGCCTCTTTTTTGTGATAGTAATGTGTCTCGAGAAGCCGTTTGTCAAGCCCTCTTTCCCACACCCGCTTACAATTCGAGACGTGTTGTCACTATCGCCAGTCAGCGTTCATCAGCCGGTCTTCAGTTAGTGTGTTTGAGTCAACTTTAGTATACGAAGACTTGTATGCCGCAGATAAGTTAACTACCTTCGCCGGACCTCCGCCGTCATGTTACAGTTTCTGGTTATCCGTGTTTATCAGACGTACTACACGACTTCTTTTTGTCGGAAATTAATCACCGTTTTCTCTCTAACCACCCGGTGTCACGTGACGCATTACGTCATCCGATGTGCGGCCATCATGATACAACTCCCTGATTTATACCCAATCTCGCACAACAACGCCACGCATGACGAAAAACTCAAATAAATAATATTGTCATGGCAACTAATGATTTTATCTGTACATTTCACATTAACATCTGAATACGTCGTACCGAGATGATATACTGGGAACCCTCGACCATAAATATGTCATTTCAGTTTTTGGTGTTTGCTGTCCGATTCCTGGCTGTACACCGTTGGCGCGTCAATTCGCGTACGCATTGCACCATTCATTCCGCTTTTTACGTCAATACGAACTATATATTAATATTTAACTTATTTTTTAAGTGTATAACTGTTTGTGGATAATTAAATAACTGTTTACTTATTTTAACAATGTGCCCATATTCTTATTTAAGACGATTAAATCTTATTTTTATCGAGTAAAACGTTGGTACGTGACTGTCCTATGTTGAATAATTGTCGGTGCATGCTTCTCCTCTAATCCAATTTAATATTAGCTGTGAGGGCGTCCTTCACCCCGAACGCCTTTGTGTCGCATTGTCTCACGAAGTCTCACCTGAAGATAGTTTTATTGGTGTAATCGAACGTGTGTCACCGTAATTTTGTTTCAATTCATCACACCAGGACGTTGTCCAAATTTAGGTTAGAACGATAAATTACGTAGCTCCCCGGCTCTCATCGCCAAATGGTTCTTTCACGCCACGCAGCTTGAAATATGACTTCCTCTGTGTTGTGCAAACAGTATGCTTTTTTTGACGTATGTAAGTAAACAACATCGTTCACGCTGGGTGGTGATACTGCGATGAAATAAAGCGATGGACTAGTTTATTTCTTAACGAAAATTTGCCTGCGATCTCGCCATGTTGTAACACGTGTTAATATACACTCCCTTCTTAATGTGTCGCTGCTTACATGTGTAACTACATTCGTTATCAATGTCGCCGTCGACAGGATTTTAGATTTAACACCCCATTTGTTTCTATGACAACCCATGTCGAGTTGATGAGAAATGACGGTGTTTAATATAGTTGGGTACTGATTCCCCGCGCATGCCCACTGCGTACTGCCTGGTGTCTGAAACATCTGAAAACATTAGCATTTCCGTGCGACTTGATTTCACCGTTGCTATGCTACTTTTTGTCAAATTCGTTTTTCGTTTGGTGATTTCGATGGCTGAGTAATACTCCAGGCGTAAACTAGCGTGATCACCAACCATGTGTGTGTTTTTTTCGGTAATTTATTGGCCCGTCAACTGTTTCACTGGTGTGACTGATGTAGGTGTGTCCGTGCACGCCGACACGTTACAAGACTTCACACCTGCATGACACAGAGAAATACACGCATAAGATTGAAAGCCCCTCGACTCTTGGTAATTTGAATAACATCATGTATATAACGTAAATGGTCTAATTCAGGAATTATGTGTATATCTAATGAACAATACATATGGCGTTTCTCAGCTTCCATTGATCCATGCACCGTTGTGCTAAAGCTTTCAAGGCCCACTTTGCACGAGGTTGCAGCAACGCTGACTTTGTTGTTATTACTATTTGAACTGCAAGGATTAAGTAGTTATTTTCTTTCTTTATCGGGCCAAATCAGTATTTTGTTCATTGTTCTCTTTCTGTTCAGAGCTGATTAATGAGTGTTTCCGTCTTGTTATTACGTTAGAAGGAATCGTCAATACAGCGAGCTGCCCATCAATACCTCGATGTCAGTCTTTTCGGCTCTTGTGTATATACATACCCCCTTTCAGTAAAGTCTCCCACCAGGGTCCTGTTTTCAAACACAGCTCGATGATGGGTAAACATACACGCATAGAATTAGGAGTTTCCTTTCGCCGTGTCGCGTACAGTGTGAGTATCACGCTAATGTTCCTTTCAATACAAGCTGAACAAATCGAAGCCATCTCAGCTGCTTATTAACGGAATTTTTTTTCCTCCTCGTCGCTTGCATGAAGAACAAGAAAAAAATCGTTGATTGCCAATGAAAGGAGAAAAATGCAGCCAATTTCAAATTAGGGTAATCGATGCCTGAATAGTGAGAAAGTGAAATCGGATCGTACTATTTTCTTATTGTCAAACAAATCCAACGGTGCGTTTGACGATCTCCAGTAAGCTTACTTCCTCGTATTTTCACAATAACTCTAAGTAATATGTCGGTTTACTTATTTTACTTTTTTCTCGACGCATTTTGTTTTTGCTCTGTATTTCCAGCTTTCCAACCTTCACTGACTCGATATGCACGCCTTTACTCGGCGCGGGAAAACACACGTCTGCTATAAGCGACCAATTTGTTTCTTTGTTATGTTTAAACTGGGGGGTTTGAATCGCCTGCAAAAGACTATTTTTTTCCGCAGTTGGGGCGGGCATACCACACGCAGCGTGCGTCGAGTCGTGTTATTTGTCTTCTGTACGATAACAACAGCAATAACAAGCACAGACTAAGCGCAATGTCAACACGAATTGAAGAGAAGCAACGCCCGAGGCACATTCAAGTTGATTTGCCGTTCTATTAATACAATATATGTTAGCAGGCTTCTCAGTATGACTGACTGTTACTATTGAAAAATAACAATGGATTCACTAAATCAATTTAGTCCAGTTTTATGACATTTACATTCCCATTTGCCTGGATTGTCCGATATTAAATTAATATGATCGATTGTGTGGGCCTGTATGTGTCATAGCATTCCCTTTCTTCACAGTGCTTTAATGCTAGCACTTAATGTAGGTATAATGTAAAATATGTTTGTCTTGTCGGCTGATGGATTACTTTTCCTGTTCAATACGCCTTTGTATTGCTTTACGCTTAGAATATTAGCAGATTGAAGCTTTTCCTTCCAATGATGTATCTGACTGTTTTTATATATTCCTAGCCCGCAACATCCCTATGAACTTGTAGCCGGGGGCAGAGAAGCTTAGTGGATCGCTCCTCTTCCGTTCTAGCGTCAATATTTCCTCCGAAAATGGACGCTTTTATTTGAATTAAGCAGAGTATACAGTGTACTATGCGTGCGTGTCGAGACAATCCCATGTCAAATAGCTACTGAACGACATCAGTATCAGTCAAGTATACCACACGGGCCAAGACGCCGCAATCGTATTTCCGCGGCTGCAGCTTGTTGACGAATAAGGGTACATTTTTTGTTCTACCGCTCTCCCATTCTTTTTCGCGCTCGCTTCGTATTTTGGCCGACTGTATCCCTGGCCCAGTCTGTTGCCTCCGTGCACAGCAAATCCCCTCAGCTCTGTCGCTCCGTGTCCTGTGATGGGGATTCTCGGTTGTGGTTTGACGTACTCTTCAGAACACTTACACCTGTAGTGCTACCCCTCACGGGAACTGTTAAACACCCTTTTCAAATTCAGAAATTACCTTTGTCAGTGTAAGAGTTCTCCTCTCTCTGGGATTTTAGCTGTCTTTTATTTTCTAATAGGGAAAATCTCTAAGGATCAAGTAATAAAATAATGACATACAAAGAAAACTGGGTAATTTCTAGCGTTAAGGCATTACTGTCATAATGATAGGTCGCTTTAAAAGTGTATCTATAATTTAATATAGAGGGGAAATTGATTTAGTTTGCATTCATTTTAGTAATGGGTTGATGGGGGATTTGTCATGATTTTGACGTTAAATTCACTCTGATGTTTGCTGGCGAATAAGGGGGTGTTGTCACAGCCATTGTATGTCTAAATACGGTTATTACTAGCCATGTCTCGCGTGTACCTCGCAGGTTAAGAAATAAAATTAGCGATGTTGCGAATCATTTATTTTTCTAGTTATATAAAATGATACACTGTCTTGTACGAAATCCCCTCTGTTACAGCCAGATGTTAGCGGTACACCCCACTAGAAGCATGGAATGGGACATTTCTATAGCATATGTTTGTGACACAGAAAATGTTTGTGTGTTTGCGTTTGCATGCTTATAGACGCGCTCCTTTTTTAACATTTTCTCTGAGGCTTTGTGATTATTGTATGCTGAGTCGTCAGACAGGACCACCTAGAATTATTGAAAGTACGAGACGTTGTAATAATGTTGTAGAACATGTTTAACTCTTTTCTCAATAGGGACTTCTCTATGTGTGTTCTATCCGTGTTTTGTGTACGCCAATTCAATGAGAAACAAGCAGGAAAACGTTGTTTTGATTGAGCACTATGGGTCTTTTCAGAACCGCTTGTCAAAACCCTAATATTTGGCGTGTTTGATGTGCAAACATGGGCGGTGGAACTAATTACCCGGCATAAAGCGAAAAGACACAATGTGGAAAAAAAGGTGTAAAATAAGCATTTAACAACTCAAACAAACTGTCGTATTACAATGTATGGATGGCGAGCCTAGTTCTTTTGCCTTTCTGTCTTTTTCTGTTCGTCTTGATGCTCTTCAATTATCCAATAAAAATACTCGAGTATATATAGAATGTAGCTTGCGGTAAAATAGCAGCGGGCAACTCACAATGGTCCTCCTGCTGATCGTTCAATAAATGCTCCTCTGTCTCGAAGTATGATTTAAAAAGCTCTCCAATCGAGATCCCGCTTGAAACCGAATTTATGATAACAATAATAGAGAAAGTGGCGATATTGGATTATAGCCCATCTCCAACTGCGTCAATCGTTATTACAATATAACTGCCTCAATGTGGCAACGAGATGTAGAATAAAAGACTTAACTGTGTGCGGCGTGCTCGCTAACAATTGAAACATGCCTAAATAATATTGAGGTGATGGAGAGATGTCGTGCACGGCGGGGTATTTATAATCGCATGTTTACCGTTTTTTAATGCCTACGTGGACTGGAAATTAAAATAAAAATAATACCGCAGCGGTCTTTCCCAGTGGCGCTTATTTTCTGTCAGGGTCCCTGCCAAGAACAAAGGATTGTTTAAAAGATAAAACATGATTTACGTGAATTCGACTCAGTATATGTAATGTAGTGATGTAAACTGTGCATGTTGGTGGAAAAATTATAGAAGAAACTCTATTAAAATAACGATCCTGTGACATTACCTGGAAGAGCCAACGCTGATAGGCACTGTGATTATAATAATGCACCGAGTTAATTTCATTTATCGCTTAATTAAGACTGGGTCATCGAGATGTTCAACTAAGTTTAAACAAAGACGACCCTGATAGATTGTTTGATGGCGAATATCGATTTTTCACTCTAACCATCGGACTGACAATGTCTCATCGTCTGTATGTATGAAATATTGCCGGAAAAGATTATGGCTGTGCACTTATTGAACTTGAAGGGTCGCTCACCCGTGCGTATGTTTAACAATATCAAGTGTCGCCGTTTTTCATATCAGTGTATATAGAAGTTTTTTATTTCATATAAAATAATGGGCCTCGTACATTTTGATATTCTCAGATATTATTTCGATTTTTGTTCGTAACTCAATCTGTTCGGGGATGGATTAAGTTT